CACGCAGGCATAATGCTAGAAAGGCCTATAGGAAACTCCAGGTCTCAGTGCTCATGGTGCAGACTGTTTTGCGAGCTATGGATGCTCGCAAGAGATTCAGATTTAGGAAGCAAACTGAAGCTGCAATAGTGATCCAGGTAGAATTCCTGTATGCTGTATAATTTCATGATTTATCTGGTATTGAAGCAGGTCTAAGATAATTCTTTATCCTCCTCAGGCACAGTGGCGTTGTCATAAAGCTTATGTATATTATAGAAGGCTTAAACGAGGGGTACTTGTTGCACAATGCAAATGGAGGGGGAAGTCTGCCAAAAAGGAACTAAGGATGCTTAAAATGGTAAGCATACTATTTTATTATCCAATAGGAAACACAAAAACTCATCTCTGATTACAATGTCTCATGAATCCATAATCATTAGTTACTAAGTTTACAGCCCTGCTGGTTTCTACCAGAGAGGATGCTAAAGAAAGATTATAGATGAAAATAGCTGCCCTTTTCTGAATCCTAATTCTATGCTGGTTTACAAAGAGATAGCACAGAATCTGGTTGAACTGCATCAGGCTGAATTGGAGTGTGGATATGCATTTGACCTTGCTATAATGTCACACTTTTTCAACTACATGCAGGCTGCAAGAGATACTGGTGCGCTCAAAGAGGCAAAGGATAAGCTTGAAAAGCAGCTGGAGGAGCTTACGTGGCGGTTGCAGCTGGAAAAACGTCTAAGAGTAATATCACGTTTTAACTCATCTTTTAATTCTATAAATCACATTTTCAAAGTACACTTATGCTTTGTGCAACTGTGTGTAGAATACCTTCAGATACATTACATTACAAGGAAAAACTCTTACTAGCATACTAAATTTGCCTATAAGTCATGCATCCTGTTGTTAGATACAATAATTTTCAGCATTTATGTGTTACACCAGTTTCTACCCATACAATGAAGTGAAATTATCGGACTTACTCGTCTGATATAATAGTTGCTCAAATCATTATGCAGACTGACTTGGAAGAAGCAAAAGCACACGAAATAGCAAAGTCGCAAGAGGCTTTGGAAGCTATGCAAAAAAAAGTGGATGAAGCAAATGCACTGGTTGTCAAGGAACGAGAAGCTGCAAAGAAGGCTATTGAAGAAGCACCTCCTGTAATCCAGGAAACTCCAGTTTATGTTGAAGATACTAAGAAAGTAGAATCTCTAATGGAAGAAAATAACAGTTTAAAGGTAATCCAACTCACGAGGCACTCTATTGTGGTGCTGAAATGACAATCCATTGGATATGAAGTATTTGAGAAGCATAAAAACTGTTACAATGCCAGTTTTTCTCTAAAAGGATAAATATGTACAATAATAGATGTTTAAACAGCCGATGTACATATTTGTGGTGGATGAGTTTCTTCAGGTCCACGTATAAATGACTGACCACCATGGGTGAAAATGAGTACTGCCTATGAGATCAGTGATGTCAAAGTAGTAAAGTCCAATATGTACCACCTATGACTAGTAAACGGAAACTAAGATGTTAAGAACATAGATTTAGCAAGAAGCGTCCCAAACTATCCTGAACACTCTGAGTTGTACAGGTGCCTGAGATGGAAAGAATTCAAAAGCCCATTACAGTTTAGTAACTTTCCCGCATATAAGTTCAGGAAATTTTCTTATGTACAAGCATTGTGCTTGGAAGTTTCTATCAGACACATTCATTTGTATTTCCAGCAGCAGAGAATTGTAGAAGAGTAAATACTGACTATTTATATTTTTTGGCTTAATCAGAGAACAAATAAGATAAACAATAAAGGTAAATAGTGAATACCATTTCATAATATCCCATAAAAGGATCACAATATGAAATGACATGCTTCCATCCTTATATTCTTCGTCAATCTCTGTGTGTTCTGTCCAGGTTTCTTTAGAACAAGAAAAGCAGAACTGTGATGACTGGAAGCAGAAATATACTGAGGCTCAAGAATCTGGGGATGAAAGTCGCAGGAAGTTAGAAGAAACAGAAAAAAAAGTTCTTCAACTCCAGGAATCCCTGAAAGGGTAATCATATTGGTTTCTCAGTTCTTTATTTCAGTTATATCCTGTTCCAGCTTATAAGACAAACTGCTTTTATATTGTCAATATAGATGTGCATCTCTTTCCTGTTCATTTTCACTGTACAAATATTTTCGGCATTGAATAAGCTAAAAGAATGACACTGCTTGTTGATATGACTAACTCATTAAAATTTAAAAAAGAAATCATTAAATTTATTGTAGGATGTTGATAGTAAAGAAAGAACATGGTAATCCGAGCGGAAACAATAAAGTAGTTTTTGGAGTAGGCCTAGGATATTATGAATTACATATGGTGCACTTAATCTATAAATAGATGAACAGATTTACAGTAACAATTCTCATGATACAATGAACGACAAATAGAATAGTCAGTCCTCTTGTTTGTACAAGAACTGTAATAGTAGTTATGTCTAGATAATACTTGGAAGTTTGGATAAGGTTACTAGCATTTTAGTGCAATATGATTGTGTTGCATTTTTTTTATTCCTAAAAGAATTATTTGTCCTTATTTATTGTGTTTCAACTGAACCCTGCCATATCAGGTTAGAGGAGAAGATGACAAACTTAGAGTCGGAGAACAAAGTTTTCCGTCAGCAAGCTGTGTCAATGGCACCAAATAAGTTCCTTTCTGGACGCTCTAGATCTATTATCCAGGTACTGCTGTTTTGCATGTAATTTTTGTGGAGGATTCAAGAGTAGAAGAGTCTGACATTTTCTGTTCAATTGACAGAGAACTGAGAGTGGTCGAAATTTCGAGGATACAAGAATGCATGTGGTAATTTACCTTCTTTATAATACTTCTGTTGCCAAGTTCTACTTACATGCCAACAATTTTTGTTGCTCATATTCTCACTTTCATTATTTAGGATCTTCATAGCCCTTCATTGAACCAAAGGGACCTTCCTGAAGCAGATGACAAACCGCAAAAATCACTTAATGAGAAACAGCAAGAAAACCAGGAGTTGCTGATTCGCTGTATCGCACAAAACTTGGGCTTTGCTGGAAACAGGCCAATTGCAGCCTGCATCATTTATAAGTGCCTTTTGCAGTGGAGATCTTTCGAAGTTGAGAGAACCACTGTGTTTGACCGAATCATCCAGACTATAGGTCATGCTATTGAGGTTTGAGCTACAAAACCCAGTTCTCCTTAAACTGTATTCTCACTTTTTAAATTATAATTACTTCTTATAATTCCATTTCTATGTTGGCACAGAAAACTCAGGACAACAATGATGTACTGGCGTATTGGTTGTCAAACGCTTCTACTCTTCTATTGCTACTTCAGCGTACACTCAAAGCAAGTGCTGCTGCAGCAATGACCCCTCTACGTCGTCGATCCTCATCGGCATCTCTGTTTGGGAGGATGTCACAGGTAGGAAGTTAAAAGATATAAACAAGTTCAGTAATTTTTCTCAAGGAAAGTTTGAGACTAGCTCCTTAAGTTATTCATTGTTATTGATTTTCCAGAGTTTCCGTGGAAACCCTCAAGGAGTCAATCTTTCCTTTGCAACTGGAGGAGTTGAAACTTTACGCCAAGTAGAAGCAAAATACCCTGCCTTGCTGTTCAAGCAGCAACTTACAGCATATGTGGAGAAAATTTATGGAATGATTCGTGACAATTTGAAAAAGGAGATTTCTCCATTGCTGGGGTTGTGCATCCAGGTATGTGGAGAAAATATCTCCAGACACATTTCTTGGTCTCTAGGACAGACCTCATTTTTCAATTACGTTTAATCTTTTCCTTTTTCGTTTACATGTAAACAGTTTTGTTGGACCTCATTTTTCGAGAACATTTAATCTTTTCCTTATTCATTTGCATGTTGTTGGATATTAGGCACCACGAACTTCAAGAGCAAGCTTGGTTAAAGGGTCCTCACGTTCAGTAGCTAATACAGCAGCTCAGCAAGCTTTGATTGCCCATTGGCAGGGCATTGTGAAGAGCCTGGGAATTTTCTTGGATACGTTAAAAGCAAACCATGTTAGTGAAGCTGATTTTTCCCTTTGTTTCAATTATTTTGAACTCCTTTTCCACTGTAACAATTTGTTCCTAGAGTAAAAATTTTGTATCCAGAAAACATTGGCTCAGCAGAATTAGCAACATCATGAGTCTTTACATGGTTAATAATCTTACAAATATAATATTATGCAGTTTAGTTCTCATCTTGCTTTTTTGGTTTGATACTTTCAGGTGCCTCCATTTTTAGTTCGTAAAGTCTTCACTCAGATATTTTCATTCATCAATGTTCAGCTATTTAACAGGTGCACCTATAGACTTCTGTTTGTATGCAGTTCTGTACAATGCATTAAAAAGGTTTCCTCATCTGATTGTATAATTTTCACAGCCTTCTCTTAAGACGAGAGTGTTGTTCGTTTAGCAATGGTGAATACGTCAAAGCAGGACTGGCGGAATTGGAGCACTGGTGCTTTACAGCAACTGATGAGGTAGATCCATCATATATACTATTTTACTTGGTAATCCTAAAGTTTATATTAATCGCCCCAAGTGATAATCGAAACAAGAACAGTATGCAGGATCAGCATGGGATGAGCTGAAGCATATAAGACAGGCCATTGGTTTTCTTGTAAGCATTTACATTTATCGCTTTCATTCAACTTGCTTCTCTTATTTTTTCAAAAATGGGATGGTAGAGTTCTCAAGTTCTTCACTTTTCTTCTTGCAGGTTATACATCAAAAACCCAAAAAGACACTGGATGAAATAAGCCATCAACTCTGTCCAGTAAGTGATCAATTTGAAGGAAGAGATAGCTGGAATGTCATTCAAAGCTCACTAATAATATCTTTTTTTTCCTCCAGGTGCTTAGCATCCAGCAGTTGTATAGGATCAGTACAATGTACTGGGATGACAAATATGGTACACATAGTGTGTCATCGGATGTAAGTTTCTATGGATGCCATTAGTCAACCTAGGTTAGAGTCATATTCTTCAAAAGATATAATTTAGCAACATGTTTACACAGTAAAAATTAACCAAAGACAGGGTTTTTATGCAAATTACATTAGGTCATATCCAGCATGAGGGTGTCGATGACTGAAGATTCAAATCAAGCAGTCAGCAACTCTTTTCTCTTAGATGATGATTCAAGGTTTGCATCGATATCCCTTGTAATTGATACAAATTCATACCTTGCCTTTTGTGTGGTGAATTCCTGAAAAGTTGATACCTTGCTTTTGTGTGGTGAATTCCTTTGATGTTTCTGAATGGTTCAATTTTCAGCATCCCGTTTTCAGTTGATGACATATCGAAATCAATGGAACAAATAGATATAGCTGACATTGAATCTCCTCTTCCTCTCCGAGAGAACTCAGGCTTTAGCTTTTTGTTGCCACGCACAAACTAGACGTCTTCATCTTCAGTTCACTTGTGAGGGAATAGATGATAAATATGTGACTACTGCTGTGAATGTTCTCTAGTAGCAGATCAACTTACTAGTTTCTGTAAACTCAAGAAATACACCAGTTCCCTGCCTCAGATTCATGAGGACGCCAAAGATGAACGCGAGGAAGATCTGCCCAAAACATAGAAGCAGTCAATTGTTTCATTTCACTTTGTAATACAAGTAGGAGCGGTGTGAATCAGTTGTATACAACTAGGTTTATATTTCATGAATGATGCAGTTGCAGCACTCCACTTTCATAGAGGAGGTGTGAACAAGAATACTCTATATGTGTTAACTTGAATCTGTCTTATATTAAAAAAAATCTGTATTTTTTTTTTGACCATAGAAGCTATCCAAGGTCCCTTCACAAATACTACAATAGAACTGTAGACTAAAACCCAAGGAAGAACAAAAGAGGACCTGTAACTGAAGGCATCGAATGAATTTTATTATATTGCCACCAAGAGAATCCTGTATAACAGTTTTATCATACAAGGAATGAGCTAATACAAGTGAAGAAATCAAGAGTGAGTTCTAATACACCAAAATTGGGTTGAAGATGAGGAAGAGAACCTGAACTACTATGTACATTCGAGAAGAACTCATGTATACTAGGTATAGTGATGATAACAAAAATGGATATCGGAGAATAACGTTGTACATATATCAGCTTCAGTTGTTGAACCGATTGCTGAACTGATGTATTTTCTGCTCTACTTTCCAAAAAATCATAAAGCTTTCTGTTGCACTTGTAGCATGATTCCGTCGGGGATAATGATAGGAACAACCTTCTCTCCGAGTATCTTAAATTTTGGCACAAAGAAGTTCGATGGATACAAACAACGTACTCTTGATCCGGGAAACTAAAGAATATTGACCTGTTTGAAACAACCTACCTGAAATGTCAAAGCATATCAAGACAATGTGTCAGACAACGGGTGAGAATCGAATATATAGAGCGGGAAAGGGTTGTAATGGTCCAAAATGAAATTTTTGCCTATAGAGATGATAAATTTGTGAAGAACTATTTAAGAGGGACAAAATATAGAGGTATTACAAGCCTAAGTGGGCATGACAGAAAGCATATCACATTGCCTGAAGATTTCAGTGTTCTTGGCTCCTTTCATTTAATTATTTATTTATAGACTAGACTTCGGGCACGTGCGTTGCACGTGTATCTCAAATAAAAATCAATAAAAAAATAAATGAAAAAGTATATAATAAACTATTAGGAGAACATGATGTTTTTTTCAAGTGTTCTCTCGATATTTTCGATCTACTGCACATTAGATAAGTCTCAAAAGCTTACCCATTTATAAGCAATTAAATGTACAGACAGTCATCAACAAGTAAAATTTCCAAGAAAGACACACCAAGTTAAAGAATTAAAAAGGGAAAATGTGACGTTACATAAAGTCTTCTTATATCCTTAATGTGTGTCGTTACAAATGTAACTACTTCCTTACAAACTTTCAGATATACCCAGACTTAAATCTACAGGCTTACAACTACTATCCATCACTGTTAGACAAGACTTGGAGTTGCTGCATTTGTTGAAGAAAATGTGATATTTTGCTAGCAAACAGCTGCAATTTCAATTTATTATTAATAGTTTAAAAGTTTATAACATGGTTTCTTTTCTGCGGTAAACTATGCGTAGAGAGTTTCAAAGAGAGTTGGTCATCATTCAGCATCAAACCATATGTGTACAACAACATTCAATTTTTGATATGTGTGATTATACCTTTCAAACTATTTATTTTACCTATTAAAAAAAATTAGAAAGTTATCATTCAAATGAAGTTAGCAAATCAAACGGAAAAATCTAGACTTAATAAGATTGTACCTGAAAATTAGAAGACACTTTTGTACCAACTTAACAATGGAAGCTTGTGTTGAATGACTAATATTGAGTATGTTTATATAGTGTAGTCTTGAAGATTTGTTGATAAAATCTCTTTGATATTCCTGAATTACTTAACTTGATTCCTTTCAACTTCTCATAATTAGCAAAATACGTTTCAACTTCTATATTAATTGAAACTTTATTAGTGTTCATCCTATTTGTTTCACACATAGTAATTGAATAGACTGCTGAACTTCTCATTTTGCTCCTCAAATATTACTATTTAATTAGATATTTAATTTATATTTGGGTAAAGTATTTTACTACTTTTTAATTTATTATAGGGACAAAATAGTAATTCAACTTTACACTTTAGAGCTTCATGCTTATAATAATACTAATCCTGAACACGTGCTTTGCACGTGAGACCCACAAAAATATAATATGTTGTAGAAGGTACATTAAAATCACATTATGATGAATTTCAGAAATGATTTAACGAAAAAAATATATAAATGAAATAAATGAACAATCAACCTTTATAAATGACTTCTTGTCATAAAATGTACATGTCAAATAATTAGATATTTCGGCAACCTGTCAAATTTGGACAATGAAATTTAATGTGATAAATAATTTACCTTTTTATGTTATTAGGTCGAAACCTACAATATATTAGTTTGTTACTTCTCTCTATGAAAGGGACAATACAAACATTACATACCTTCTCAATTTGTACCAAAGTTTGAATTAACCTATATACTTGTAACAAGTGTATAAGTTGTCTTCATATTACATTCACATGACATAGTGTGTTTATTCTTCTTTGTAGCATGAACAAAAATTTCAATAGTTGGATCATGGTTATTTTTCATACTTCTTATCATTCTTTAATTTTTTTTGCCCTTTTTTTTCTTACTTTATTATTGTTTTCTCTAGCATTACTATTTTTTATCCTTAGACTTAATTCTTGTCTTCCCCTTTCGTTTATATATGTTCCATCCATTTTGTTTTTGTTGTTTTATTTTTTACATCCACATTGTCATTCATAAAAAATAAATAAATTAAAGGATTATCTACAAACAAAAATAATTAAAAA